GGGGGGGGGGGGGGGGGGGGGGGGGGGGCTGATTGCAGGCACTTTATCAACATAAACCTGATGGACAACCACAGACCTCTGCCTGACCAGGTTACCTTGTGCTGTATCCAATATAATGGGACAATTGGCAACACCATGCCCCTAATTCACTACATCTAAAACAACACACTTCTATTAGAGTTATTAAAAAAAGGGTGAAGAGTTTGGAGAAGGCAGGAGAAGTGAACAATCTAGACCAAAATAGCCGATTTGGAAAAATTCTCCAACTCAGCTCGCTTTCCAGTTGAGCTATGTTGTCCTAGATTGTGAACAAACTCTTCACCCTTTTGTGAATAGCCATGTATGTTTTGTCAGAGCTTCCCAAATGGCATCTCCCTGTCACATGTTCTCTGGACTGGAACCTCCCCACTACAGATACAGACAAAAAGGACAGGAGCGCAACTACCAAACGTGATGTGAATGGATTTGGTTTGGCCTAGTGGATCTATGTAATAAGCATGGTTAATGGATCTTCGTGTGTGGAATCTGGGTATCTATGGCAATGTTACAGCAAACAGAAGGACTTACGGTTAGAAGCTCCCCCGTGGTCTGTGCGACGCCCTCCTTCGACAGATCCTGGGTCGAAGAGCCCCGGTGGTGTGAGAGGCTGATCCGTTGGGGGTGCGCATCCGTATGGCCGCCCACGTTCTCGGCTGGCCGGGCCGTGTCGGTCAGGAACGGAGAAAAAGGGGGAGGAGCTACACGCGGCTAGAAAACGCCGTGCGTCAGTGTTGGTCACAGAAGTCTAAGACTGTCGGGTGTCTCCAGTGGCTACGCGTTTCGAGGGTTAACCTCTTTTTCAAGCCTCAACATGCGGGAGATCGCGGGAAATCTATCTACTTTTAAATTTAACAAGGGGGAGGCGTGTAGTTTCGTTGAGCCCGGTGATAGGCTGCTGCTCGCGTGGGGGGAGTGGATTAGCAGTCTGGGTCCGCCTTGAGTGCGACCTGTCAGTACTCCTACAGCTTAGCACACCCACCTGAACCCTAGGGGGAATGGCTTTTCCTTAAATTAGGCTTTCTCAGAGAAGCTGGATGTTTTCCATTAGAAAATGTTACCCTTTAAAACTTATCATAGTTGTTGCAGCCTTGTCCCAGTATGCTGCCAGAAGGGGCAGTAGCATTTTTGACAAACATTCTTCCTCTCGCAGGCATTTAGAAAGACGTACGCACCATCACTTGGCAACATCGTTTGTAGAAAGGAACCTGGTTTAATTGCCCCAACAGCTTTTGGGCAGCGATTGGCTCCTTCACAGCATTAAGAGCAGCTGACCTGCTCTTTCTGTAGCTGGGGTCACCGCTGTCAAATTATGTATACACTAGTCCACAGCACACTCCAAATTTTGTAGATTCTGTCTGGACACATGTGGGGCTCACCTTGTTAGGTCTCCTCACAAAGCATCTGTGCTACAGCTCATCGCAAAGCATCACAATACACGCTTCCTGCACCACAATGCACACTGCTTGCTGTGAAAAAAAAATGAGCCGGAGCCATTTTGCATGTTGCACCCAATCAAAATGAACTGGATAGCCTAACACCGCACACAAATCTGTTACTGCGGCACAATACAATGTGACCACAATACAATGTGACCAAGCTCTAAACAGATTTTGCTGAAAATGCCCAATAAGTACAGATGACCACTAGAGATAATATTTATACATTTGTTTATAAAACAGAAAAATCTAAATAAGTTATAGAAAACAAGTAAACATGAAAAAAACCTCAAAATACTTACTAAATTTATGGTATAGCTTCCCTTTGTGGACATTAAAAAAAAAAAAAATGAATGGTACTAGCCTGTGTATACTAATAAATTCTACAGGCAGCAACTTACTTTTGTCTGGATGTAGTTGTTGAACACAGCGCCCTCTCCTCCATCACCATTTACCTCAAATCCTACTGGGCCTTTAAACTGAGCACCTGTAGAAAGAAAACAAAAAGCAATGATACCTTATACTGTCTGGATAATAAATCTGTGTTTACATCAGGATTTTACAAGGATTATTTGGCGTATTTTCTGTTTATGTCAAAGGAAGCACAAGTCTTTATATGGACAATATACACTCACCGGCCACTTTATTAGGTAAACCTTGCTAGTACTGGGTTGGACCCTCTTTTGCCTTCAGAACTGCCTTAATTCTTTGTGGCATAGATTCAACAAGGTGTTGGAAACATTCCTCAGAGATTTTGGTCCATATTGACATGATAGAATCACGCAGGTGCTGCAGATTTGTCGGCTGCACATCAAAGATGTAAATCTCCCATTCCACCACATCCCAAAGGTGCTCTATTGGGCTGAGATATGGTGACTGTGGAGGCCATTGGAGTGCAGTGAACTCATTGCGATGTTCAAGAAACCAGTTTGAGATGTGAGCTTTGTGACATGGTGCATTATCCTACTGAAAGAAGATGGGTACACTGTAGTCAAAAAGGGATGGATATGGTCAGCAGCAATACTCAGGTTTAAACGATGCTCAATTGGTACTAAGGGGCCCAAAGTGTGCCAAGAAAATATCCCCCACACTAGCACCACCAGCCTGAACCGTTGATACAAGGCAGGATGGATCCATGCTTTCATGTTGTATATGCCAAATGCTGACCCTACCTTCTGAATGTCGCAGCTGAAATCGACTCATCAGACCAGGCAACATTTTTCCAATCTTCTATTGTTCAATTTTGGTTAGCCTGTGCAAATTGTAGCCTCCATTTCTTGTTCTTAGCTGACAGGAGTTGCACCCGGTGTGGTCTTCTGCCACTGTAGCCCAACTAAATCAAGGTTTGACTGTTGTGCGTTCAGAGATGGTATTCTGCATACCTTGGTTGTAGCGAGTGGTTATTTGAGTTACTGTTGCCTTTCTATCATCTCAAACCAGTCAGCCCATTCTTCTGACATCAAAAAGGCATTTTGGTCCACACAACTGCCGATCACTGGATATTTTCTCTTTTTCAGACCATTCTCTGCAAACCCTCGAGATGGTTGTGTGTGAAAATCCCAGTAGATCAGCAGTTTTTGAAATACTCAGACCAGCCCGTCTGGCATCAACAACCATGCCACGTTCAAAGTCATTTAAATCCCCTTTCTTCCCCATTCTAATGCTTGGTTTGAACTTCAGCAAGTCATCTTCACCACGTCTAGATGCCTAAATGCATTGAGTTGCTGCCATGTGATTGGCTAATTAGCAATTTGTGTTACCAAGCAATTGAACAGGTGTACCTAATAAAGTGGCATGTGAGTCTAAGGAGAGACTACTAATGATACTGTATTGTAAAGTCTAGTTATTTATCTCACGAACACTCTTCATTGATAATTAAATCTCGCTTACTGCATCAGATAAGATCCAAAGGCTTTTTTTACGTCTTAGATTAGATAGTTGTAATGTAAAAAAAAAACAATGTATTGCAAATGGCCAAGGCCAGGTATCACATGTTGATATCATACATTACATTTATAAAACAACAGAGTTATAAAAGAGACATGTGAACATAAGCAAACAAAGTTCCATAATGGAATAGAAGAGGGAAGGAGGCTGGAAATAAAGGTCTACTGAAAACCAACACACACGGACCAGTACCTGCTATTTGACTCCCACCACCCTCTAGACCACAAACTGGGAGTCATCAGGACTCTACACCACCAGGCAGAGAAAATTCCAACTAGAACAGAGGCCAAGACGAAGGAATTCAAACCCCTCAGGGTGCCCTTAAAACTTGCGGGTATCCAGACTGGGCTTTTGTCAAAACAGAAAGAAGAGGAACGAATGCCAAGAGTACCAGTGAGGGTGAAAAGCATGACAAACTGAGGAATTTGGTCATCCCATATATAGCTGGGGAGTCTGACAAACTCAGAACGGTTTTTAAAAAAACATCACATCCCTGTCTACTTTAAACCCAGCAGTACACTGAGGCAACAACTGGTTCACCCAAAAGACCCAATGCTAGAACACAAGATGAACAACATTGTGTAAGCAGTCCAGTGCAGTGAGGAGTGCTCAGAATTGTATGCGTCGGTGAAACAAAAGCAGCTACACCAGCGTATGGCACAGCATAGAAGAGCCTCTGGTCAGGATTCAGCAATATACCTACATCTAAAAAGGAAAAAGGTCACTCCTTTGAAGACAGGGAGGAGGACTGGTTTAACACCTCCTAGCTCCAATTATGCAAATGCAATCAACACCTGGTTGCAACTAACAGATTATGTGGATTGGAGCAACATTCACCCTATTTATTCCCAAAATAATTTGTTCAGTCATTCGGAATTGAGAAAGCTGGTTGGATGACCAGTGAAACATCTTCAAGAAAAATACAGCAAGTTCAGCTGCCTTGACTTATTTTTCTACAGCTCGACCTTCCAAGTTTGATGGTATTACTCACGGAAAGTGGACTTAATACCATTAGCATTGTAAGACTGGAGATTCTATTATGCCTCTACCCTTCAAAACCTTGGATTTAACAACCATAGTGTTATTAAAGCAGCCAAGAAGCAGGGTGGAAGACCGATCCCTGTGACAGCAGTTCAGGACAATCTGGAAGAGTCAATGCCATGTCTACGAGCACCCTTACCATGTCAGTTACAGGGAGGAAACGCATAGATCAGAGTAACAATCTTATGAAGTCACTAGTGAATCTGGTGCCTATGTATACACACACATAAACACACACACACATATATATATATATAAAAAAAAATCAATTATATAATGTATATACCAATCACTCTATGTAGCCAGTCACACCAGGCATCCCAGCACAAGTTCAGGTAGTTGCGCTCTTTAGTTATTTGTATTGGATTGTGTCTCACAGGGTTCCTCTACCTGTTTTTGAAGAGCTCTTGCACACCATTCCCTAAGGTAATGAATTGAGAGGCTTATCCACATTACAGCAGTGCGCTTCCATGTTTGTTTCTTTTCAATCACATATTTTGATTAGATGAATTAGAAAACAGGTGATAAAGGTGCTGGTTGGCTAAAGTTTTCAAGATATTTCACAATGAAGATTTATACACAGGTGAGTATATTTGCCTACAAGGGAGGGAGGTGTACGATAATCATGATGCGTCAACTTCTCAACAAAGTACGGTAGAACAATGAAAATGGTACCACATGGAAGTGTATAAATTTATCTTCACTATGAGACTAAAGATTGCCCAACTGTCATTTATTGTTCTTTTATTGCAAAGTACATTTGTCTTGGTCAGATCTACGCATCATACAGTTACATGTGGTGACTTGTGAAAGTGTCATTGCCTAACATTTCCAAGGAACAGTTGTGTGATATTTTCCCTCAGAAGTCAAGATGCCTCGAAACTGTATAAACAACGCAGATAACTTCTGCTACTTTTGTGGTGAGATTACATTTGCATCTCAAAAGTGCAGTATGATGTCAGTGGTAAAAAAAAGGCATACCACCTATATTTTGGATGCAAAATAGGGAGTCAGGACAAGAGTTGGGCCCCTCATTATTGTTGCATTACATGTGCAACTTATCTGTGTCATTGGCTAAACAAGAAGAAAAAGTCCATGTCTTTTGCAGTTCCAATGGTGTGGAGGGAACCCACTAATCATAGTAGTGACTGCTATTTTTGCATGGTTCCCACAATTGTAAAAGGGATCTCAAGAAAGAAGAAGTAGACCGTGGAATATACAAACATTCCATCAACACTGCATCCTGTACCCCATAGCGAGGGCTTGCCTATTCCAGATCCATCAGAATCCTACTCTCCAGACTCAGATGATAAAGGTGATAAAGATGATGCAGCTGAAGTAGGGCCGTCGACAGGGGCGGACTGGGTCGGGGGGCAGGGTGGCAATTGCCCCCCGGGCCTCTAACGTCGCACCTCCTCCCCGCCTTACGCGCATCCCCACATCCACAAGAGCAGGCATGAGGGGATGACAGCCGCCGACAGACAGTCCCGATCTCAGAAGCAAGTTGCTGGAAGACTGCTTAGGTAAGCCTGCAACCATTGTATCCCTATATAGCTGGTGGTATTCTGCATTGCGCTGTATAGGACTACAAAACCCAGCAATAATGCATTATACAGCCCAATGCAGAATTCCACCAGCTATAGAGGACTACAAAACCCAGCAATACATTATACAGCGCAATGCAGAATACCACCAGCTATATAGGGATACAATAAATCCCAGCAATACATTATACATACAGTGTATAATGTATTGCTGGGATTTGTAGTCCTCTATAGCTGATGCTGTTCTGCATTGCTGTATAATGGTATTGCTTGGAATTGTAGTTCTCTATAGCAAATGCCAATCTGCACAATGTATTTCTGAGTTAGTGGCAGAACTACAAGGGTCGCAGCAGTCATGCACACGCACAGCCCTGACGAGGCATCCCCCCCTACTACCAGTGTGCTTTACATTTCCTAAACCGATAGATACATTCACACTACTGTTACATGGATGGCAAAAGTGGCAGACAGGGGCGGTGAGAAGGCGGGGGAAGAGGGAGAGCGGGAGGGGGGCCAGGTTGCTGCACCATGGGCCTCTGGGTTGTACTTGCCCTCTGGGCTAAAAGTTGCCAGTCAGCCCCTGGCCGTCGATGTCAGCGAACCCAAACTTCAGTCCACCGTATGCTCCTCTTGAAAACACATCTAATTTCACAGAGTGAACTAAAAGAGCTGGTCAGGGATATTGAATTGCCTAAGAGTAAGGCAGAGCTACTGGGCTCCAGATTACAACAGTGGAACCTCTTGCAGAGTGAAAATGTTACATGAAAAACCAATAAATGAATGGAAACTTATGTTATTGGTATCAATAAAAAGATACATTTATAATGATTGGTGTGGCACCATTCTCATTGCTATATCACATTTTGCAGAAAAGCTATGGAGCATAAATCGCACAATCCCCTCATAATTTTGAATTATTTTGATGCAATTTTGACCTGCAGCTGTATCTTGGAAA